AATTAGAATTTCAATATCTAAATATAAATTGAAACTTTAATTTTTTTTTTAAAGATCAAAATTGATATACATTAATTTTTTGTTTTAATAATAAAAAATTATAAATATTGAATAACCAATATAGCTTAAAAAAATTTTATAATTTATTGTACATCCTCCTTAAATCCTAGCAACGCATGACCCATACAAATTTTTAAACTATTTTAATAAATTTAATTATTTTATTAATTATAAGAATTTCAATATTATTAAATATATATTAATAAATAAAATTTTTAATTTAACTATTAATTTTTAAAATATTAATTTAAAAATAAATTTTTAAATAAAATTTAAGAAAATCATGTACCACACACTCTCATCATTGAATACGTAAAAGCAAATCAAATATTATGGCAATCCATGTCCAATTGTCCATTCTGCTGTACTATAGACTAGTTCGTTTTACCCGCTCAACGATCGGATAGCGTGTTTTGATCGTTGAATAAATATAGATATGATAATAGTTAAAAGAGTTAATGACGATGATTCTATCATGTTTTTTTACCAACTCACAGATATCCCTACTATATTATCGCTATAAGTAAAGGAATCGCAGAAAATCAAATATTTAATTTATAGTGACATTTTTAATAAAAAATAAATGACAAATCACTTGATTTGCGTGTGGGAAAGGTCGATGATTTTATCATTAAATTGACGAATAGTCTATAAATAGTGGAAGAACAGTCTATGAACAGTGAAATGTAAGTTAGGAGTGAACAGTTTAGGTACAGTTACTTCTCTGTGTAAAATTTCGCAAAAAGACGGAAAACCCAAGTTAAGTGGACACTGTTCAAGGGTAAAATGGGACATTTATGTGACTCACCTTTCTATATATTCTATTCTACTAGTGTTGATGATAGTGACGAGTGATGACTAGCGAAGATGTAATGGATTGCGTTATCATAAATTTTTTTTTTTCTTAACTCACGAGGAATTTTGAGAAAAAGAGCAGTGTTTTGAAAATTGAATTGGAGGTGAAATTGTATTGACTTTGGTTTAATTGATTAAATGGTTTAAACTGTGAGTTTAATTTAATATAAATAAATATAATATTATATAATACATATCAATAAATTTGTAGTAGTTTTACTAATTTTGTTATTAAAAAAATAACAAATTTAAATTCACACAATGTTAAAATTTATATTATTATGTTTTAAAATTATAATATACTAATTTCAGCACAAAAAGTTAAGAAACATTCCTCCCTACGTCAAGTGGAGGAAGCCTTCATCCTTCTTCAAGGGAGAGAAGTTCAGTTACCCTCAAGGTATTTTCAATTCTTTTCTTTTAAAATATAAAATAAATAAAATTTTAAGCAAATCATCTCAACTTTGCGTGTGATGTTCTAGAGGCAAAAGTTGGTTAAAATTTCCTTAAGATTGTGTGTTTGAGCTGTGGAGGTGGTAAATCTTATAAAATTTTTACCAAAAATTTTAAATCATTTCGTTGAATGGTTTAATAATTTATACTTGTTTAAATGGTTTTGTCGGTTGAATGGTTTAATCTTCCTACTAGTTTTAGATTCCTATTTAACCTATTTATTTTATCAGATACTAGTTTGATCGATCGGACTAACCAGTTCGATCTAATTTTTAAAACAATGAAAAGGAGTAAATTTATAAGAATTAGTGAAAGTAGAACTCTCAACCATTTAAATTCAAAGTTTTAGATTTGATGGTAAACCATTTAGCCCATTAAGTTGGTACGATTGCTTTATCATAATTAACTCTGTGGTATTCTTTTTCCCTTATATATAACAATAAAACATAAGTAAACTACATTTTTTATAGGACAATGATACATACACCCTCATCTGTTACACACTCCATTACACACACTCACTCTCTGTTGCTTTTT